TGAGAGATCATGTTATAGCTGTACAGGGCATTCGTTAGGTGACTTTTGGAATACAGCATTCCATTCTGGTCTCCCTGCTATAGGGACCATCTTATGAAACTAGAAGAAGGCTCAAAAAAACCTTACAATGTTGCCAGGGTTGGAGGGTTTGAGCTACGGGGAAAGGCTGAATAAACTGGGGCTGTTTTCCCTGGAGCATTGGGAACAGAAGGGTGAGGTTTGTAAAATTATGAGGAGACTGGATAGGGTGATTAGACAAGGTCTTTTCCCCAGGGTGGGAAAAACTAACAAAACTCCAAAACTAAAGGGCATAGATTTAAGGTGAGAGGGAAAAGATTTAAGGGACCCAAGGGGCAACTTTTCCATGCAGATGGTGGTGTGTGTATGCAATGAGCTATCAGAGGAAATGGTGGAGGTTGATACAATATTTAAAAGGCAAATGGGGAATATTCCATCACACTCCTGACTTGTGCCTTGTAGATGGACAGGCTTCAGGGAATCAGGAAGTGAATTACGCGCCGCAGTATCCAGAGTCTCTGACTTGCTTACGTGGCGAGTCCTGTTGATTTTCTAGTCAATGATAACTTCCAGGATGTTGCTAGTAAGGGTCAGTGATTAGATTCTCTCATATTGGAGATGATCACTGCCTGGCATTTGCGGTGTACAAATGTTACTTGCCACTGGTCAGCTCAAGCCTGGATATTGTCCACATCTTTACTGCAGCTGAGCATGGACTGCTTCACTATCCGAGTCGTCGGAAATGAATCATAGAATAGAATCCTTATTGTGTGGAAACAGGTTATTGGGCCCATTGAATCCACACTAACTTTCCAAAGAACATCCCACCCAGATCCATCACCCCTATCTTACCTCTGCAAGCCTGTACATCCTGGATGGGTGCGGCTCCAACAATACTCAAGAAACTTGACACCACCCAGTACAAGGCATCAAAACCACAAAGATCCACCACTGATACTTAGTAGCAGCAGAGTGCAATATCTACAAGATGCATTGCAGAAATGCACCAAGGCTCCCTTAGACAGCATGTTCCAAATTCATGACCACTTCCACCTTGCAGGACAAGGGCAGCAGATACATGCAAATACCAACATCTGCAAGTTCTCCTCCAAGACAAAGCGAATTCAGACTTAGAAATATATTGCCTTGATTGTGGTCACTGGGTCAAAATCCTGCCACTCCCTACCTATGAGCATTGTGGGTCCATCTACAGTCTACTGACTGCGGTGGTTTAAGAAGGCAGCTCACCATTACCTTCTCAAGGGACAACTAGTGACAGGCAGGATGGACTGGCCAGCTAGCAATGGCCACAACGCACAAAGTGAATAAAAGAGGTCGCCTTTAAAAAGTCCTTGTGCATCGTTATACAGCTTTACCTTTCCGTTCATCTGTTGTCATGACCTGGTCGGTTGGCTGGACAGCTGTGTGATACAACAACATGGGTTCACTGTAACCCCGCACTGTCTGGTGTTACCATGAAGGACTCATCTCAACCTCTTCCCTTGCCTGAGGCATAGTGACTCTCAGGTTGAACCACTACCAGTCATCCCTCCAATGAAAGGGCAGCCCTTTGGTCTGATAATGCTCTAGCAAATTTACTTTCTCGCATCTGTCTTCATTCCAAAGTATGTACATGGATGCTGTCATGCACTGCTCTATCTTGCTTTCAGGGTTGGGCATGTTAACTTCAATAAAAATAAGATCTCCAGCATAAATATACATCAGAACAATGATCAAAGTGTAAAATATTAACTTACCGCACTGAAGGAAGCTTCAAACCAAGAACCAATCTATCATTTTTTCAGTGTTAGACTTGACATTTTCTCAGAATTAAGACACTGAGATTTCCTGTTGATTGCTCTCTCATGGTTTTCTGGCGGTTGACCAGATAATAGGGTTGAAATGTTGGAGTTCTTTCAGCCAAGCGTGAAAACGAGTGTCAAAATAAAAAAAGCCTAACTTATTGTCAATAGACACATCCAATTTCAGATAATTGTGGTTAGTGGTATGGACTGAGGATGCTATATAAATTAGGAACAAGATCACTGGTTTCAACATTCATACAAACCTGGAGAAAAAAAGAAAAATCCAAACATACTCTTTTTCCTAATCTTAAATCAGGAGTAAACATTCTGCACATTCTCTCTCTTTAGTGAGGGACTATATAGGAAAATGGTTCTGATATTATTTTTCCACAAGTTCCGAAGCTTAGTGATAAGGTCTAAAAGGCAACATGACCCCAAGGTTCCACACTACCTAATGCGGCAGGTTTTCTGAAAGGATCCGATATTCCTATTTCAACATGGTTTGAGCCCACTTAATGGAAAGATAGCTGCTGAGCATTGTGCAGTTACATTCTCATGCCAATTCCTAACAATAGGATAGTGTGTTGATAAAGGACCAGTTTACCAAGAATTGGAAGGCTTCCTCTTTCTGCTGGGGGTCTGGAGACAAAATAAGTCAAGTACCCTCTAGTCACAGAAGTGATACAATTCTGAATTGTCAAGGTATTGCATTTTGGTAAAACAAACAAGAGCAGGGCATATACAATGAATGGTAGAGCCCTGGGTAGTGTTGGAGAACAGAGACTTAGAAGTTCAGGTGTATAATTTCCTGAAATTTGTGTCACGGGTAAACAGCGTGGTTAAGGTGGCATTAGGCACACTTGCCTTCATTGCTCAGACCCTTGCGTATAGGAGTTGGGAAAGTCATGTTGAGGTTGGTGAGGCCTCTTCCGGAGTATTGTGTGCAGCTCTGATCGCTCGGTTATCAGAAGGATATTATTAAATAGGAGAGGGTTCAGAAGAGATTTCAGGACGTTGCCAGGAATGGAGGGATGGGATATAAAAAACAGACTGGGACTCCCCCAACCCTCCGGCCACTGGAGCAAAGGAAGTTGAGGGAAGACCTTATTCAAGGTTTATAAAAATCATGAAGTGCACAAATAAAATAAATGACAAAGGTGTTTTCCCTAGGGGGAGGGAGTTCAAAATTAGTTGTCAGAGGAGAAAGCCTTGTGTTGCAGTTGTACAGGGCCGTGTGCAGACCAAACCTGGAATACTGCGTGCATTTTTGGTCTCCTTTTTGGAGGAAGGATGCTCTTGCTCTCGAGAGTGCAGCAAAGGTTTACCAGGCTGATTCTGGGATGGTGGGTCTGATGTAGGAGGAGAGATTGACTAGGTTAGAATTGTTTTTGCTTGAGTTTAGACATCGAGAGGGGGAATCTCAGAGACTTATCAAATTCTAACAGTACTGGACAGGATGATGCAGGGAGGACGTTCGACGGTGGGTGTCCAGAACGAGGGGTCAGAGTATGAGGATTCGGGGTGGGTGAGTTAGGATGCAGATGAGACATGTCTTCACCCAAAGAATTGCCAGCCGCCTGTGGAATTCATTACCACAGGAAGTAGTCGATGCCAAAACACAATACATTCAAGAGGTAACTAGATATAGCACTTGGGGCAAATGGAATCCAAGGTTATGGGGAGAAAGGAGTAGGCTGAATTGGGGACGACAAGTTATGATTGCAAAGAATGGCAGAGCAGGCTCGAAGGGCCAAATCACCGCCTCCTGCCGCTATCTTTTATGTTTCTATGACTTAAAAAGGACACGAGGGGAAACTTCTTTTCTTAAAAAGAAAACAGAGGGAGATTCTTGAGTAGAACAAACTTCAAGAGGAAGTGGTGGATGCGAGTATAGTTGCACCATTTAAAAGACATTGGGATAAGTACATGAATAGGTTTGAAAGGATATGGGCCAAGCACAAGTAGGTGCGACTAGTTTTAGTTTGGGAGTATGGTTGGCCTGAACTGGTTGGAGCGAAGGGTCTGTTTCCATGCTGCATGACTATGATATCATTTGCTTGTGAATCATGAAGGACTCAACTTATCTTTACAGCAAAGGTTTCAGCACACTGACCACAAAATCTTTGGCAACAAGAGGTTGCACAAAGGAAATGAAGTCAGAGATGGGAAATACATGAGACAGAAAAATAAACAGAGCTGCAGACACATGTAAAGTAAGACAGGCAAAAGGACACAGAAGCATAGAGACAGAGGGAGCAAAGACTTGGAAGTAAGCTAGATAGATTGAAAAATAAAAATAACAAAAATATAAAATGGTACGAAACGTGAAAGAGACAAATATGAAGCACAAACATTAGAAAAGATAACGATAGAAAAACGTCAAGATAGCAACAGAACTGTATTCAACCAGAATCATTTTATAACAAGCCCCTCACTCAATTGCAATGAAGCCAGGAGGGCAATCCCATTTCAATGAACAGGAACTTCAGAATCAGCCTGCGCCTGCATGAAAGTGGGAGAAAAGGCAAGTCCCAGAGTGACAGGAATGGCAGCTCGTGCCTACCCCTCCACCCATACAACCCTTGCACTCTGCAGGGACTGCACGGTGTTTACAGGGGACAGGGAAGGCACTGACGGTCAGCGGCCTGGTGTCAGGAGAGTGGGGCCGAAACTGAGGCAAGGGGTAAACGTCAAGCCGATGAAAAGACATGGAGAGCAGCGGATGGGCAGTAATTACAACATTTAAAAGGCATCTGGATGGGGATATGATTAGGAAGGGTTTACAGGGATAGGTGCTGCACATCACTACGGCTCTAAATTGTGCCAAAGGGGTTTTCCCGGCTCTGCCTGGCCAAGCTGCTACCCACTGTTCCTCTGCTGCCCATCCCACATCTGTGGTGAACAGAATCCAATCTTCCTTCAAAACAGAGGGGGGAAAGGGACCAGTCTTGCCAATGCTGATATCCATGACCAGGACAACGCCATCCCTCTCCCACAGAAGGTGGGGAAGCATAAAGCAGGTTCCCAGGGCCCCCATCACGCCACCCTCCATTTGCAGCTCCAGGGCCCCACTTTCTTCCCCATGCTGTGCCCTTGCTTCAGGGCAAATGCCAGGACGAGCGACGCTTCCCCTATTGACTGCAACGACGCACTTGGAAAGAAAAACACAAACTAACATTTACACGGCAGCACCTTTTCACCGGCTCAGGATGCCCCTGGAGCGTTTTACAGGCAACGAATTACTTTATTGAAACGTAGTCAGTGTTGTAGTGTAGGAAACGCGGCAGCCAGTTCACGCACAGCAAGATCCCACAAACTGCAAATGTAATAAAATGACCGGAATCATCTGCGTTTTGCTTCTCGTGTGATGTTGGTTGGTTGACAGCTAAGACAGTGGAACCCAGGCCCCCGGGGGTGGAACAGAGCGGTGGGGGATGAGAAATCACCCTTTCCACACCCCCGCCCCCTCCTTTCTCTTCAGACTGGTGGCTGCAGAATCTTTAACATCCCCGAGGACAGGGTGGAAGGGGGCACCCGTTTTAGCATCTCACCCCCGAAAGACCGGCGCGCCCGCTAGAGTGGCGCTCCGAGTTCTGTAAGACCACCCCCTACATCGGCCCTGCGCTGCTCCCTCAACGTGGGAGCACCCAGAGAATGGCCAGCCTGGCTCTGCGGCTAAAGGGCTTTCAGCCTCTGAAATCAAGGGCAGGGGGCCATGCCGATCACTGAGCGACGGCCAACTGCTGGGGGTGAGGTGGGGGACGGTATCCACTGCACCGTCAACCCACACTCTGGTGAGCTGGGTCAGAGGAGCACAGCTTCTAAGGTAGCAGGGGCAGGGGAGGGGTGAGGTGGGGGTGGGGTGTGAGAATTTGGCTCCTCTGCACTGACCTGCCAGGCATTACATGGAGCTAACAGCGATCACCTTCCGTTCCCACCATCTGTCCCGCATTAACCCCCTCCCCGCCTTGAACACTCTCCTCTTACTAGATCCAGATGTTCAAAACGCCAACAAATAAAAACCCTACTCCCGTTCATCACCTGAGCAGTGAAAACCAGGAGTAGCCTCCCCCCCACCCCCCAATCGCAAGCCTGGGAGGTCTGCCTCTTGTGATTCTGATGGGATGGGTCACTTTGCACTTTAAAACAAAAAGAGCACCCCCCCCCCCACCCCGCCCAGCCCCAACACGCAGTCAAACAAGTGTCCCTCATCCAGAAGCTGCCCTAAACCCCACCCCCCTACTGGGTAAAGACCAACTCCACTCAGTGCCAGCGGAAGTGCCACCCTTCCTGCTGCACCTTAGGAATGGCAGAACACACACACAAACACACACACACCCTCCTATTCCCTGCGCAGACATCCAGCCCCTTCACCTCACACCTCCGCCCGCAAGTGCTGATGAGGCTAGGGAACAAGTCTGCAAAGAAAGGCGGATGTGTTGACAGATTTGACTTTTGCTTTATACAATATTACTAGGTGCCATTTTGTTTTTACAACTGGGTTGACTGTAGGCTGAGTATCTTCACCCTGGAGAGAAGAGGGTGGTGAAGTGAGAGGGTAAAGTTTGGGTGGGGGGGGGGGGGGAGTAGTTGGGGGGGGGGAAGACAGACAGTAGGGGTGAGCAACTGATGCCCCTGCCCGCCTCACTTGTCGGGCTCTTCCCGCTGGATCCCTCGCATCAGGGCCATGACAGACAGAAGCGATCGCTCAGTCCGAGTCCAGAGTCCAGCACAGTCGCCCACTCTCTCACGCGCACACACACAAAACGCACACACAAACCCAGCACCAGGCAGCAGCAGGCACTGGACTTCAGAAGATATCCGGGCACAGGTGCCAGTCTTGCTTCTCTTTCGCCTCCCAGTATCCACCCTTGTAGAGATGCACCAGCTCTTTGGTGTAAGGGTCCTCCCTTTTCTCGAACCACAGAGGCCGATAGGATGCGTCCATGGAGTGCGTTTGCCCTGTGACATGAAACAGGGGTCAACTTAGTACAGCAGTTTGTTTGAATCGTTCTACGCCTAAGCTACTGTAAGCTACTTCCTTGAATAATTTTGATGTAAAATTTGACTCTTAATCTGACTGCACCTCTATGGATAATCCATATCTCATTTAAAAAAATGAATAACTTCTACAATTCTTTTAGTCGTGATACCGGGCAATGGAATGGTCTCTGAAAATCCAGTAGATACATCCATTACGGTCAACAAATACCGATTCCCACATGTTATCGGTGGGGGTCCTACATAAATCAATTAAGACGCTTATAAAAGGATCCTCAAATGCAGGAATGGATATTAAAGGTTGGTTTTATCACTGCCCAAGGTTTTCCCACTTCCTGACAAGTACATGTCTAGCAAAATTCAACCATATCCTTATGCAGTTATGTTTTTTGTATTTTGGCTCGAGTTTTCCTTACTCCTAAATGACTTGCTACTGGTAATTCTTGCGCAACCTGCAACACCACCACCTTTCTGTAACCCACCTGAGATACAACTTGATGAATTTCTGCCCATTTCTCATCGGCGTGAATGTGTGATGGTCTACTTCCTCATCCAGACGTCATTTTAAGATAGTAAACGTTCTGGGATATACTCATTCTCCTGTGTACGCTTCTTGATACAACTGCTTTAGTTTTTCATCTGTTTTAATTCAGCTGATTTCTCAACTAAAAATATCGACTTTCGCCTCCACCTGTTCTTGTTTCTCAACTATTTGGGCAAACAGTCTGATAAATTGAACTTCAACTTCCCTGTTTGTCCACATCCATCTTCCCAGTGCTTTCTCTGCTAACACTGCGATTTCACATGGCCAACTTTACTACAATGAAAGCGCCTGAGCTTTTTGACTTCTCTTTTCCCCCTCACAGGTTTCCTTTTTATCCTGTGGTGAACTATCTTCAACGAGACCTCCTTTGCCCTTACCACCTGAGAATTTCCCTCTTTTCCCCCAATTTCTATGCCTCAGACTGAAATTGATGCTGGAAGCCAAACTTTGATTTATGAACCATGTCAATCAGTCAATCAATCAATCATCGGCCATTTCCACTGCTGCTCTTGCAGTTTTAATCTTCTGCTTTTTCACAAGTTCTCACTACTTCAGGAAGTGAATTTCTGAACTGCTCCAAAATGATCATCTAAGAGCGTTGTCTGTCTGATCTATTTTCAATGCCCTTACCCACCTATCAAAATTACTTTGCTTGATCCTTTCAAACTCAATATATGTTTGGCCAGTTTTCCTTCTCAGATTCCTGAGTTGGGAGAGGGGGCAGAGTTATTTGTGTCTTCTACGCAGTCAGCACATGACCATTACAGCACAAAAAAAGAGGCCATTCGATCCTATTTGGACCACGCCAGAAGTAAAGACCTCAAATGTGACTGGTAAAAGCAGACGGGCTGCTGAAGCTCTTCACTGTGTTCTCACTGGGGGCAGAGGTAGGAATGGCGAATTTCAAAGGGAGCAAAGGCTGCAAGTACCAGACTTGCCATTTGGTTCGCTCACATTTTCTAGAACATCCATAAGCTCAAACACAAGGACCTGTGCACCACAGGAAAGAACACCTCCAGGTATTGTGCCGAGAGAGAGGGTGGGGGCACAAAATTTCCATGGCGTATTCCCCACGGCAAGGTCTCGACCAACAGTACCTTTTTCTCAAGCAATAGGAAAAATTGTTTCTCCCCAAGCGATGGCCGAGTGGTATTATCACTGGACTGTTAATCCAGAGACCTCGATAACATTCTGGGGACCCCAGTTCAAAACCTGCTACGGCAGATGGTGGAATCTGAATTCAATAAAATATCTGGAATTAAGAATCTAATAATGGCCACAAATCCATTGTCGATTGTCAGAAAAACCCATCTGGTTCACTACTGCCCTTTCGGGAAGGAAACTGTGCCATCTTTACCTGGTCTGGCCTACACGTGACTCCAGACCCACAGCAATGTGATTGACTCTGAACTGCCCTCTGGGCAACTTGGGATGGGCAATAAATGCTGCCCTAGCCAGCAAAGTCCTCATCCCGTTAATGAATAAAGGATGAATAAAGGCTTTCAAATGTGCCTGCTCTGTGACTGTCTTATGAGCAAAGGCCAAACAGGTTGGGATTCTACTCATTGGAGTTTAGAAGAATGAGAAGTGATCTCAGTGAAACATATTGGATTTTCAAGGAGCTTGCCAGGGTAAATGCTAAGAGGAGGTTTCCCCTTCATGGGAGAGTCCAGAACCAGAGGGCACAGTCTCAGAATTAAGGGGCATCAATTTAAGACTGAGATGAGGATGAATTTCTTCCAAGGATTAAGTGTCTTTGGAACTCCTCGCTACAAAGAGCTGAGGGGCAGTGTCCTGGTCTATAATTAAGGCTGAGATAGATAGATTCTTGATCAGCTGGGGTCACAGAAAAAGGGCAGGAAAGTGGATGCAAGGAATGTCTAATCAACCAGGATTCTACTGAAAGGCGCAACAGACACGAGCGGCCGAATGGCCTACTCCTGATTCTATTTCTTCCTAAGATGTCTTCAGCAATAATCTACTTCCCAGTTTTAGCATCCAGTCTCTCCCACCCTGCTAGACAGTCCAAGGACAGGCATAGCAAAGGTTCAGCACAGATGTGGAGGTGCCGATGTCGGAATGGGATGGCCAAAGTCAGAAATCACTTCTCTACACCAGGTTCTCATCCAACTTCACCTGACAAAGGAGCAGCGCTTCAACAGCTTGTGATTTCAAATAAACTGGTTGGATTGTAACCTGGTGTCATGTGACTTCAGACGAGGTTTGATTCAACGTTTTCTCTACAACATTTCAATCACTTTGCAAGGCAGGTACAGTGGACAGATACTGAGAAACGACAACTCTTCATACGGTGTCCTCCACTCCCCACCCCAAGACGCCTCTCCCCCTGCCCCCACCAAAAGAGACGCCACCCCTCTCAACATCACCCCCTCCACAACACGACCTTTACACCCCCTCTGCCCCAGCCACGTCCTCCCTCACCATCTGACATCTTGTTGATGTCTGACTCTCGCTTGCGTCGCACAGCGCGCTGTTTCTCCTCCAGTCGCTGCTTCTCCATGTTGGCCTCGTCCCACCTGCCGTTCTCCATCAGCCTCTGGTCCGGCCGTAAGCGACTGTCGGTGGGGGCCACCCCCTCCTCCAGCTCATTTAGGGTCAGGGCGAGCTCTGAGAAGTAGTACATGGATTCCGCACGTTCCCTAATGGGACAGAGAGGGGGGAATTCATTCTGACTCTTCCTACACAGCGGTACACCCCTCCTCCCTGCCAGCTCTCACTCTATACAGATGCTCAGTGGTCCCGCTTCCACAATCACCCCTGAAACAGATTTTCTGCTCCAGTGCTCCATGCAGGAACAGATCACAAGTCCGTGTCTTCCTTACTGCTGGGTATGACACCATAAGTCCCATGCTTTGACATTGGACGCAAAGCGCCCTTTACTGTTTTAAACTGAAAGGAAAGGTTTCCTTACTCTTAAATGGAGAGTAAAGCTCTGTTAATATTGTCCCCACACACTCCCAGGACAGGGACAGCATAGGTTTAGATATAGAGTAAAGCTTCCTCAACTTAATCTCTAAATAAAACTGTTCTTACTCTTTCAAACTGAAAATAAAGCTCCTCTACATTCGTCCCCTATCAAACACTCCCAAGACTGGAACAGCACGGGGTTAGATATAAAGCTTCCTCTACAATGTCCCCTTAAACACTCGTTGGACAGGGACAACACAGGTTTAGAAACAAAGAATCAGATAGGACTGAAAAAGCCCATCAGTCCACTGAGTCTGTACCCCACTGCTACCTACATTAGCCCCATGTCCCCACAATAGGCCGTGAATGTTATGACATTTCAATTGTTCATCCAGGTACTGTTTCAAGGTTGCAAAGGTATCCACCTCAACTACATTCTCAGACACGACAATTCCAGACCCCCATCACAGTGGAAAACATTTTCCCTCAAGTCCCCTCTAAGCCTCTTGCCTTGAACCCGAGAAAGTGCCCCATTTATTGACCCCTTCAACTGCTTTCTAACCACCCTGCCCATGCCCCTCAATCTTGTACACCTCTATCAGCTCCTTCGCTGCTCTGAAGAAAACAACTTGAGCTTATCCAGCCTCTCTTCATTGCTGAAATGCTCCATCCCAGGCAACATGCTGGTGAATCTCTTCTGCACCCCTGCGGTACAATCCCGTGCTTCCTACAGCGCGATGACCCGATTTAATAAAATCGGGCGAACACTCACGGTGCTTTGTGCCTTCTCCAGAGCTCCTTCCCTCGCAGAGTCTCGTACACAGTCTTCTGCCTCCCCTCCACACTGTTCTCTCCTTTGCTGCTGTGCAGGACCCGCGAGTATTCCATCTTTTCGTCCCACGTCCCAGAAAGAATGAAGTGAGCTTTCCCCATGCTGTCTGTGACAACGCCGGTGACCTACAGCCCCATTGGTTAAAAATAAACACTCGCATTAGGGTGATTACTCCACATCACAAACGTACAAATCCCTAGCTGCCGGTGCGATCTTGCTTTTCTTTTCATTTTTTAATTAGCCAGAATTTATGACGGAACCAAGCCCCTCGCTCACTGTTAGATAGAGACGTGCTTGTATGGTTTGAGGGGCACTGGTCCACAAAATATGGGCAGGGTACGGTTCCGAATCACCACAGGCAGTACAGACATTCACATGTGCGGTTGGCATCACTGTGCACCAGGCGTGAACCCAAGCTGACTGACCCCCTACTGCCATTCACGTCCAAAACGGGCAGGTTTAGAGAGTCTCGATAGAGGTGCTATGATTACAACTGATGTTACTACTGGACGAGGCAGACCCTGACCTGAAATCTGGCTTGGTCAAATCACATTTTGATTTCTTTTCATTTGAACAAGGTGGTCTTTTACTGGAAGATAAACACGAAATATGGCAGAATTGGTTTTGACAACAGTTTACTGTTCTAACAGAACAAAAATCAAAATGGAATATATTTATTTACTTATCACACAAGTTTAGATTCTGAAGCACACTGTAAAATACCATTATCCCAAAAGTACTACTTTACAGTATTTACACAAGACAGATTTCCCTTCTCTATCAGGCTGATAGGGTTCAATTCAATTATGGTTTCAATCCCCAGTCTTGAGAATCTGATAGCCTCTTCCTCAAGTCGTCAGACAATGCGTTTAGACTTTCTCAGCTTCAAATAACTCCTTCAGAGTTTAAACCAAACAGTTCTGGTCTGGAACCTGAAAACTAAACCCTTTACTTGAAGGTACTTCTAAACAATTCTAAACTCTCTCCCATTCTCAGGAGCAGTTGTCTTAACCTCCACATAAAATAAAACTTCTGCAAAACCTGCCAAACTGAAATTCAAAGTCATTTTCTTTCTTAAAAGCAACTGTCCTCTTCAAAAGAAAAAAATACTTTGACATTCTAAACTGCAAGTCTAATGCACAACTGTTTACTTTATTTGCCTGTAATCGACCACCCCCATGCAAACAAATTTCCCATTTGCCTTCCAAACCCTTCACAGACAACTATCTGAAATCCATACCTTACAATAAACGATATTTAAAAATACAGATGAATCTCACATGCCTTATATCACAAAGGAAACAGGTACAGGTGGTCTCAGGAAGGGATTTGAGAGCTTAGGGTTACCAATGGAACAGCAAATATCAAGTGATGCCAGAATTGGACGTGGACAAATTTCAGAGGAATGTTGGACTGCAGAAGGTTGCAAGGATGCAGAGGGGAGATGACAACACCACAGAGGGGCTTGAACAGAGAAATGGTCAGGCTGACCAGAAGACATTGTAGGTCAGTAGGCAAAGTAGAGTGGTGGGCAATGAGGCTTTGAGAGTTGATGCTCTTTTAACTTGGGGACTGTTAAGAAAGCTGTTTTGATGGAAGGTGAAGACCAAAAGGGGTTTGGGATTGAACTGGAAGTTAGGATGGAGAAGGGCTGACAAGCCAAGGTTCCGTTCTTCTGTTGGCTCTCAGTAGCGTGATAGAACCCTACCTTCCTTGCCACATCCCGAGAGAAATAGCTGTAAGGTGCAAACTTCAAGTGGCACTTGTCCCTTGTCTTCCTGTTGATGATGTCAACTTCTCCACTCTGTTCACACACAAAACAAAAGTAAGGTCTTTATGACGAACTGGACAATGTCAGTGTCCTGCAAAAATAGAAGATTGTTGAGTACTGAGCCTGAGGCACAGCAGATGGTTCTGACCCTCCAACAGCGGCACTTTCTTGGTTCTAACCCTCCGACAGCGCAGCGCTCCCTTTCTGAGCTTCAAGGCCCAGACGCAGTTGTTTCTACCAATGACAACGTGCAGCCAGTTGGGCTGCTCATCATCATCTCAATGGGGATGTCACGCGAATAAGGCCCACACAGAGCCTTCCTCACCTGGTCGATCCACAACTTGCCCACTATGATGTTGTGCACTGTGGTGGTGACTTTTTTCCACGTATAATGGTTGCCGCTTTGATGGAAGGTGCAATGGATGGTGCCTGCAGCACAGAAAGGTGACACGTTAGTTAGTGTGAATGGGACTCCTGTCCTTACCCAGTCTGGGGCGGTTCCACGTGACTCCCAACCTTACCCAGTCTGTTCTGAGGAACTGCAACCTCATCATTAACACATACACACAAGCAGAGAAGAAATGCAGAATCTCAATTGTTTTGGTGCAGAAGGCATCCAATTGGCCCATCATGTCTGCACTGGCTCTCTGATCATTTTGACGTATTGCCATGCGTCTGCTTTTTCCTGTTGCACATTATTTAAACAGGAACAATCACCCAGTGCCTTCCTGAATGCCTCAGTTGAACCTACCTCCATCTCCTTCCAGGCGGTGCATTCCACAGCCTAATGACCAACAAGGTCTTCCCCACCTCACCTCTGCTCCTTTTGCAAAACACTCCACCACTAGTTCTCAATCTTTCCATGAGCCAGAACAGTTCCTCGAGGGTCTGTTTCTGTGCTGCATGACTCCACAAAGTAAATCACATCTCACACTTCTGCACTGAACCTGCCTGCCATTCCACCAATTTGTCTCTGTTCATTCAGAGTTCAACTGTCCTCAGTTAATTTTGCAATTGTCTCCCGCATACCAAGATCAAATTGTTTGTGTATCAAGCAGGAAAAGGAAGGTACCCAATGTCAATACCTGGGGACCCCCATTACAAATTGCACCAGCCTGAAAAATACCCAGTGAACATCATTGTTTCATAGTCCTCAGCCCATTTTACACCTTTGTTACTGACCCATTTAACCCATGAGCTCAACCATTTTTCCCCAAGACTGTTGAGTCGCTCTGTATTGAATGGCTAGAGGGGATTCAGAAGAGATTTACTAGGATGTTTCAGGTATGCAAAGTTTGAGTTATAAGGAGAGGCCGGATAGGCTGGGACATTTTCCGCTGGAGCATAGGAAGAGGAGACATGACCTTATAGAGGTTTATAAAATCATGAAAGGTAGAGATAAGGTTAATGATAGGTGTCTTCTCCCTGGGGTTGGAGAATTTCAAGACTAGAGGACATATTTTTAAGGTAAGAGGAGAGATTTTAAAAAAGACATGCGGGGCTTTTTTTTTTGTTAGAAACAGTGTGGTTCGCGTGTGGAATGAACTTCCAGAGGCAGCAGTGGATGCGGGTATGGATACAATGTTTAAAATACACTTAGACAAGTATATGAATAGGAAACATTTGGACGGATATTGTCCAGGAGCAGGCAGGTGGGGCTAGTGTAGTTTGGGATTACATATGGCATGAACTGGTTGGACTGAAGGGTTTGTTTCCGTGCTGTATGACTAGCAATACCGCCTCTCTGTATTTTACCTCTTCAGAAAACTCCAGCAAATGAGTCAGGAGTGACTTACCCTCAAGAAATCCATGCTGGTTCTTCCTAAGAAGAATTACTGTTACCAGCAGTTTAAGTCTGGTCATAGGTAAACAAACAGGTCTGTCATATCTAGACTTAACAAAACAACTTTTCTAAAACAAGCGTTTAATGTCTGAACTTCATAGAGTCCCTACAGTGTGGAAACAGGCCATTCGGCCCATTAAGTCCACACTGCCCCTCTGAACAGAATCCCACCCCGACTCATTTCCCCTGTCCCTGCATTTTCCCATGTCTAACCCACCTAACTTAAACATCCCTGGACACTACAGGCAATTTAGCATGGCTAATCCACCTAGCCTGCACATCTTTGGACTGAGAGAGGAAACCAGAGCACCTGGAGGAAACCCACGCAGACACGGGGAGAATGTGCCAATCCCGCACAGTCACCTAATAGCGTCCCTGGCACTGAGGCAGCAGTGCTAACCACTGAGCCACTGTGCCACCCAGTCCTCCGGCATCTCACACAAATCCACGCAAGACAAAGATTATTGCCAGTGCCTATATAATATTCCCTTTCACTATCTTCAATACCCTTGGACGCATCTCATCCAGACCTGGTGGCTTATCAACTTTATGGTTTATTTTAACAGGATACGAGCATCACTAGCTCATAAGCAAGCATTCATTACCTATCCTTAATTGCCCAGAGGGTAGTCAAGGGTCAACCATATTCCTGTGGGTCTGCAGTCACACGTAGGCCAGACCAGGTAAGGGTGGCAGTTTCCTTCCCTAAAGGACATTAATAACCCAGATGGGTTTTCCTTCAATGGATTCACGGTCAATATTAGGCTCTTACTTCCAGACTTTTATGGAATTCAAATTCCACTACCTGTCCTGGCAGGATTTGAACCTAGGTCCCCAGAACATTACCTGGATTAACAGTCAAGCAATAATACCACTAGACCGACACCTCCCCTAAATATGCATAGAACAACACAGGAACAGGCCCTGCAGCCCACCATAGCAAGGCTAGCATGCTGCCATTCTAAACTAATCCCCTCTGCCTGTACATGTTCCATATCCCTCTACTTCCCGCCTATTTATGTGTCTACCTAAATGGCACTTAAATGTTGCTATGGTATTTGCTTCTAACACCTCCCCTGGTATCGCGCTCCACATACTTTTCCCCAAAGGATGTTAGGTATGTTCCCAGCACATCGCCATTAAGATTTTCCCCCTCTCATCTTGAAGTTATGCCCCCTGGTGTGTATCCACCTCTCATTTTAATCTATTCACCCCCTTATGTAATGTTTCCATCCTGGGAAAAAGACTGCAACTATCCATACCTCTTGATTTCAGATACTTGTATCAGGTTGCCTCTTCAGCCTCCAATGCTCTCATGAAACACAATCTAAGTCTGCCCAACACCTCCTTATAGCTAATACACACCAATCCAAGCAACATCCAGGTAAACCTCTTTCGCACCCTCTCCAAAGCCTCCACAACCTTTCACCATACAGGCTCTTACCAAGTTTGGACAGAATGCTTTCTATGGTGCATCTATAAATGTATTACAGCTTGGTAAGGCAATTGCTCTACCCAGAACTGTCAGAAACTACAGGAAGTTGTGAACACAGCCTTGTCCATAATGCAAGCCAACCTTCCATTCATTGACTCCATCTGTACTTCTTGTCGTCTCCGGAAAGCAGCCAACAAAGATCCCTCCCGCCCCTGTTGTAATGTCTTCCAACCTCTTCCCTTGGGCAAGAGATCAAAAAGCTTAAACACACGCACCAACAGGTTCAAGAACAGCTTCTTTCCTACTGTTATTAGACAGCTGAATGGGCCTTTCAAAGTTCAAATCTAATGCTGACCTCGCTGTTCATGCGTCTCCTCCGTAACTGTAACTTTGCATTCGCTCTATTAGCCTAATGCACTTTGCACAGTATGATTTGCCTGTAGTGCACGCAAAACAAAACTTTTCATTGTACCTAGGTAAATGTGACAATAATAAATCACATCAAATCCAACCATGGCCTGGGGGGCAATAGCCTCACAGGTAAAGACAATTCTCTAAAGCCTGCAACTTTACACAGAAGAGACAAGGTAGATACATGCACACCCACCTCTGACTCCAGTTCACTTACCCAGGGGCATGATGGAGAGATACTTTCCCCTGAATTTGCTAGCGATAGCTATCTCTTGCCTCAATGTCCAGCCATACTTGGAATCTACATGATGTGCAGCAGCCGGAGGGTGGTGACTGACCTGTTTGGGGAATAACAGGACAACTGAGTAGGGGGGTCACAGCACCACACCGTCACACTCGTCAGGGAGGGGGTGTTACATGTCACCTTCAGTACCATCTGAGATTAGAGTACAGGAACAGGGATGCCTTGCTACAACTCTACAGTGCCTTGGTGAGACCACATCTGGAGCACTGTGTGGAGTTTTAGTCTCCTTATCCGAAGAGGAACGTAACAAAATATAGAGATTGCTGGAAAAGCTCAGCAGGTCTGGCAGCGTCTCTGGAGAGAAATCAGAGTTAACGTTTCGGGTCCGGTGACCCTTCCTCAGAACTGAGAGGAGGAATGTTCTTGCTGCAGGGGAAGTGAAGGTTTACCAGACTGATTCCAGGAACAGCAGGACTGACATACGAGGAGAGGTTGAAGCCATTAGAATTATTTTTAACTGGAATTCAGAAGAATAAAGGAAGGGAGAAAACTATGAAATTCCAATTACGTTTATTGTCACGTGTACTCAAGTACAAAGTACAGGAGGATATTGAAATGCGTACAATGTCACCACACAAGGCGCCATCTTAGACACAAAGTACCTACGTACAAATCTTAGATACTAAAATAGATTAGGTATGAAAATAGAGAAATAAAGAGAAAAGCTAAAAGTTCTACATTATCTTCCTAATTTATACTATGAGGAACTGTAAAGAAATAAAAGTTAAAGATAAATAACTGTAAAGAAACAAAGTTAAAGATAAATGTTAAAATCCTTCTATAGCCTGCAGTGCCTCCACGCTGTGTGTTTTCCACATGTGGACTCCCTTTCCCCACACTGCCGGACTGGAGATCTGGGACAGGCTGACCACAATGGGCCCCGGTCTGCTGCCAACTCCTCCTGTCAGGACTAGACAGGGCAAACTCAGGAAACCAGTGGTAGGGGGAGGGATCTAGGACTAGGGATCATAGTCGAAGGATAAGGGGTAAATTATTTAGGAGCGAGATGAGAAGAAAATCCTTCACCCAGAGAGCGTGATGAGCCTGTGGAATTCGTTACCAAAGAAAGCAATCGAGGCCAAAACAGTGAACGCTTTCAAGGAGGAGTCAGATACAGCCCTTCAGGCAAATAGCATCCAAGGAGATGGGTGAAAAGGAAGATCAGGCCATTGAGTTCGACAATCAGCCATGATCATCAACGGCAGAGCAGGCTCGAAGGACTGAATGGCCTACTCCTGCTCCAATTTCCCATGTTTCGACATTGATCGACAATGCACCTTGAACGGGGAAAGGTTCTTCGGTGGCAGCTAATTTCAGTTTTCAAAATCTCCTGTCATCGTTCCATAGAGTGGTCTCAAACGAAGTATGGAGCTCAACGCCTGATACTGTGGGGGAGGCAGGTCGTCTTACAATCTTGATCTGGACGGGCGCTTAAAATGCCAGGGCATAGGAGGCGATGGACCAAGTGCAAGTAAATGGGACAAGCGTAGGTCGGCGTTCATTGATTAGTACAGACATAATGGGCCGAAAGGCCTGTTAGTACGTTGTACGATGAAGAAGAGAGCATCGGCCTTGACTTGAACCTGTCCATCCAGATCATCAATGTTGGTTCTCTGCACTGCTGGCAACGCATGGATTTTAAAAGCTGCTGTCGTTAGGAATAACATCAAATTGAAAGAAAAGAAAACATACAATGTGGCAAAGACTAGTGACAAACCAGATGACTGAAAAGTTTTAAAAGCCAACAAATGATGACGAAAAAGATACAACAGAAGAGAAAATAAACTAGGAGGTCAAAATTAACAAGAGGTTTATAAATTCATGAGGGGCATGAATAAGGTGAGTAGACAGGTCTTTTCCCCAGGTTAGGGGAGTCCGAAATTGGAAGACATGGGTTTAATGTGACAGGGAAAGATTTAAAAGGAATCGAAGAGGCCACTTTTTCACACAGAAAGTGGTGCTTGAAAGGAACGAGCTGCCAGAAGAAGTGGAGGCGGCTGGTACAACTACAACATTTAAAAGGGATCTGGATGGGTACACGAATAGGAAGGTTTTAGAGGGATACAGGCCAAACGCTGGCAAATGGAACGACACATGGACAGATTGGACCAAAGGGTCCGTTTCCATGCTGTATAATTCTGCGACTAAGTGGCAGCAGAGATAGTGGATGCTACTTCCAAGAATCCTCAGTTCGTTGAAAAAGCTCAGGATTGGAAAACTGCCAATGTTATACCTTTACTCAAAAAGGAAGGGAAACAAAAACAAGTAACACTATAGGCTGGTTAGCTTAAGATCTGTTGTCGGGGAAATGTTAAGTGTCAAGGATGTAATAGCAAAGCATTTAAGGAACACAAGTAGAGCCAGCTGGCTTCGTTTATGGGAAATCATGCCTGACAATTTTACTGTTATCTTTTGGGGTGGTAACAAGCTGTAGGTCAAGGGGATCTGGTAGATGCAATTTATTTGGATTTTTAAAAGACATTTGATAAACTATTGCACATAAAGGCTGTTTAAATTAAACAATCATGTATATTAGCGAGGAGGGGGTAACTGGCTAACTAATAGAAGTTATCAAGTTGGGATAAAAGGGATCATATCAGGATAGCAACCTGCAACTAGTGGTGTGCCCCATGAATCAGTGCTGGGACCACAATTATATACAATATAAGTGAATGACTCAGATGACAGGACTGAGTTTCCTGTCGCCAAGTTTGCAGATGACAAGAGTAGGTGAGGGGTGACGACGACACAGCAGTTCCCAGAGAGATACAGACAGGTTACGCAAATGGGTGCTTTGGCAGGAAAAACAGAAGAACAGAACATTATTTAAACCGGGAAAGGCCTCAAAGCTGCAACACAGACAGGGATTTGTGGGTCCTAATGCACAAATCACAAAAAGCTAGTATCCAAGTTCAGCACGTCATAGGGAAGACAAATGAAATGTTTCCCTGTATTCCAAGCAAGTTGAAGATAAAAACAGGGAGGCGCTGCTGAAAAAATAAGGTACTGACCAGACAATGAACAGTTTTGTTGCTGTTATCCAGAGGGCGTCCGCTGGGATTGGAGATTTGGCAGAGAAAGTTCACGAGGTTAATCGCGAGCATAGAGGGTTGTCCTGACACAGGAGGCTGAGAAGGTCGGGCCTGTACTCACTGGAGTGCAGCAGAATGAGGGGGCTCGACAGAGAAATTGTTTCCCCTTGCGGGGGCATCTGGGGAGATTGTGTTTTTTTTCCCTTAGGAGCAAAGTGAATCGAAAAAATTCTTCACCACAGAGGGCTGTCAAGGCTGGGTCATTAGCACTTTCAAGGCTGAGACAGACAGATTTCTCTGGAATCATTAACAGAAATCAAAGGTTAGGAGGAAAATAGAGCTGAAGATCATCAGGTCAGCCATAATCTCATCAAACGACGAAGCGGACATAATGGGCGATTTGGCCTACTTCCGTTTCTACATCTTGGGTTTCTTATTTTCAAATCCCACCCCATCTCAAACCTCCTCCTCCAGCCCTGACGAGCCTCCCACACCTTGCCGGTTTAATTTCCCTGAAGTGCCTAGCTGCTATTTCACTTGCCTTTGAAAACGGATTGTCTGCGCCACGTCATAGGCAGTCAGTCCCTGACCACTGCCGCTCATTGTGGAAAGAGGCTGTTGGAGCCCATGGATACCAGTTTGAGAAACACGTGAACATGTGACCTGTCAAGCCCCCAGAGACTCTCATGTTTCAGTACGGTCTGCTCTCATTCCGCCAAACATGTCTGTGCGCAGTGAACGGGCTGGGTGAGCGGGGCAGGTGTGTGCATATATTCACCTGCTCGCAGATCGACCTGAAGCCTTCATCTTCCAGCCGGTCCAATTCGAAGGTCTCCCCAAGCAAAGGGTTGAAAGGCTTTCCCGTTCGGAAGACGGTGGTGGAGTATGAGGACACTGTGAAGGCAGCCACGTAGCACAGCTGCTCTAAGGCATTCTCGCACTTGGAGGCTTTGTCCAGGAGCTCGTGATACTCCAGGTCCTCCGTTAGTCGCTGCAGCATCGACAGGGGTTCGTTGAAGTTAACCTGCAGGAGTACACAAGGAGCAGGGGGGGTGGAGGGGTCACAACAGGGAACGGTTGGAGGGCAGAACGAGACGGGTACAGCATCTATCACACAGGTTCGACTGCACAACAGGAGGCCATTTGGCTCCATCAAGTCCACGCTAACCATTTGCACAGCAATCCTGCAGGTACTGTGACACCTCTGTCCCAGCAGCCCTGCTAACTTGTATCATTCAAGTGCCCATTTTTCAACGTATTGAACTTTGCTGCACCCTCACAAGAAAGGTTCAGAGGGATATGGGCCAGAAGCAGGCAAATGGGGCCAGTTTAGTCCAGAAAATCCGGTAGGCAAGGATGAGTTGGACCCAAGGGTCTGTTTCCACGCTGTATGGCTCTACGGACAGTGATTTGCAGGGCATTACTGGTGTTTCATTCTGCGTATACCTCCCAGGTCCACATGGGCAGCACGTTCTGAAAACAGACGTCAACACTGGGAGCGGTGTGCACAGACCTTTAGAGCAGCTGGTCATTGCTACTCACTGCGTAAAGACAGCTCTTTCTCAAACTGCCCCCTCCCGCATTTCCTGCCTGATATCCGAGACTCCAAGACATTGTATTTTCAAACAGGCATGTGTTAGCACTGGAGGGGGTACAGAGGGAGATTGACCAGACTGTTGCCTGGGCTGGGGAGTTTCAGTGTTGGAGACAGACTGGGGTTGTTTTCCTTGAAACAGGGGAGATTGAGGGGGGACATGATCGAGATGGATAAAATGATGAGGGGCATACACAGGAACAAACATTTCCCTTTGATGGAGGGAATCAATGGCTGGGGGCATAGATTTATTCTAAGGCGCAGAAGATTCGGAGGAGCTTGAGGAAAAACATTGTCACCCAGAAGGTGGCGGGAATCAGGAACTCATGAGGATGGTCAAGGCAGAAACCCTCATTACATTGAAGTCTTTAGATGTACACTTGCGATGTCAAGACACACAAGGCAAACAGAGCAGTGCCGGGAAATGGATACAGTGGATTCACAGAATCCCTACAGTGCAGGGAGGCGCTATTCGGCCCATCAACTCTGCACCGATCCTCTGACGAGCAACCTATCTAGACACCCCCAACCCCACCCTATCCCTGTAACCCTGCTAAATTAACCCTAACCTGCACTTCTTTGGACTGAGGGAGGAAACCCGTGCAGACACAAGAACGTGCAAACTCCACACAGACAGTCGCCCAAGGTTAGAATCGAACCTGGGTCCCTGGCACTGCGAGGCAGTAGTGTTAAACCACTGAGACACCGTGCCACCCGTGATACAAGGAGTTAACCGCCCCAAGGGTGGAATCGAACCAGAGTTCCAGGCACTGTGTGGTAGGAGTGCGCACCGCTGTACTGCCCTAATCAGGATTGGGTTAGGCAGTCGTTTTTGACCGACAAGGATGCGACAGGCCTAAAGGCCTTTTTCTGTGCTGTCAGTTAGACTCAGTCTGACCGCTAAGCAATCTCTTGTACTTGCTGCAGGCACCCATAGCGAATGGAAAGCCAGGGCCAACAGGACAATCAACCTTCATCTGTAAGGCACATTGGTTTGGCCACTTTTGGAACAGTGCATTTAGGTTTGGCCTCCCTGCTATAGGCAGGATGCTGTTAAACTTGAAAGGGTGCAGAAAAGTTAAGGATATTGCCTGGGTTGGACCTATAGGAAGGGGCTGAATATTATTTTCCCTGGACTGTCGTTGGCTGAGGGGTGACCTTATAGAAGTTTGTAAAATCATGAGAGGCATGGATTGGGTGAATAAAAAAATAATCTGGATTGGTACATGAATAGGAAGGGCAAGAGGGAAATGGGCCGAATGGGTCAACAGGGTGATGTGGAAGATTAACAGAAGGTCACCTTCAAATTAGAAATTGAGGGGAGGCAAGATTAATTTAGGATATCTGGTCAGCATGGACGAGTAGGGCCGAAGGGTCTGTTTCCACGCTGTATGACTATGGCTGACTGCGAAGTCAGGACGTGGTGCGCTGGTTTACACCACCAGTGATGGCTCAGCATGCTGCTTCGCACGGTTTCTGCCCACCCAGACCACTATCCTGAGCACCACACTCACGGGCATGGGGATTTTAGACAGCTCCTTGCCGATGCAGTTCTTCATGATACTCCAGAGGTTGAGGCTGTAGTTGGGCTTGTCAGGGATGCTGGTCCTCCGGTTCCGCTTGGTTGCTGGCTCTTTGCTCACCAGTTCGACGGCGCTGGTGCTGGAGCTAGTGTTGCTGCTGGACATCTGCTCATCTAACAACTGAGCACAAAGAAATAGGAGAGAGAGGCAGACAGAGAGGCAGACAGAGAGAGAGAGAGAGAGAGAGAGGCAGACAGAGAGAGAGAGAGAGAGAGAGAGAGGCAGACAGAGAGAGAGAGAGAGAGACAGAGGGGCAGACAGAGAGAGAGAGAGAGAGACAGAGGCAGACAGAGAGAGAGAGAGAGAGACAGAGGCAGACAGAGAGAGAG